AGCCAGTATGATCCAGTGCAGTTCCAGTATAACCCAGTATGATCCCAGTGCAGCTCCAGTATAACCCCAGTATGATCCAGTGCAGCTCCAGTACAACCCCAGTACAACCCAGTGCAGCTCCAGTATAACCCAGCATAATCCCAGTAAGATCCAGTATAACCCAGTATGATCCCAATAAGATCCAGTATATCCCAGTACAATCCCAGTAAGATCCAGTATAACCCAGTATGATCCCAATGCAGTTCCAGTATAACCCCAGTATGATCCAGTGCAGTTCCAGTATAACTCAGTATGATCCCAGTACAGTTCCAGTATAACCCCAGTACAACCCAGTGCAGCTCCAGTATAACCCCAGTAAGATCCCATACAGTTCCAGTATAACCCAGTACGGTCTCGCTTTCCTTCCTGCACAATCCCAGTATGATCCAGTGCAGTTCCAGTATAACTCCAGTATGATCCCAGTACAGTTACAGTATAACCCCAGTATAGTTCCAGTATAACCCCGTACGGTCTCGCTTTCCTTCCTGCACAATCCCAGTATGATCCAGTACAGGTCCAGTATAACCCAGTACAGTCTCGCTTTCCTTCCTGCATAATCCCAGTAAGATCCAGTGCAGTTCCAGTATAACCCCAGTATGATCCCAGTACAGTTCCAGTATAACCCAGTATGATCCCAGTGCAGTTCCAGTATAACCCCAGTATGATCCCAATGCAGTTCCAGTATAACTCAGTATGACCCAGTACAGTTCCAGTATAACCCAGTATGATCCCAGTGCAGTTCCAGTATAACCCAGTACAACCCAGTGCAGTTCCAGTATAACCCAGTATGATCCCAGTGCAGTTCCAGTATAACCCAGTACAGTCTCGCTTTCCTTCCTGCACAATCCCAGTACGATCCAGTACAGTTCCAGTATAACCCAGTATGATCCCAGTGCAGTTCCAGTAGAACCCAGTACGGTCTCACTGTCCTTCCTGCACAACCCCAGTACAACCCAGTGCAGTTCCAGTATAACCCAGTATGATCTAGTGCAGTTCCAGTATAAATCAGTACAACCCAGTGCAGTTCCAGTATAACCCAGTATGATGCCAGTGCAGTTCCAGTATAACCCAGTACGGTCTCGCTTTCCTTCCTGCACAATCCCAGTACAATCCCAGTACAATCCCAGTACANACAATCCCAGTACAATCCCAGTACAATCCCAGTACAGCCCAGTTCGATCCGCTTTAATCCCAGTTTGTCCCAGTCCCTCCACCCCCCCATACTGGGAGGGGGCGTGGCCGAGACGCGATGACGTCACACACATGGGCGTGGCCACGGCTCCCCGCTCCCGCCTTTCCCGCCGTGCCGCGGCCGTGACGTCACTTCCGGGAGAGGAGCGAACATGGCGCTGTTCGAGCAGATGCGGGCGAACGTGGGGAAACTGCTGCGGGGCATCGACCGGTACTGGGAGCGCTGGGGGGGACTGGGAGGGGCTGGGGGGGGCACAGGTGTGTTATGGGGGGTCCTAGGTGTGCCCCAGGTGTGTTACGGGGGGACCCACGTGTGCCCCAGGTGTGTCACAGGGGATCCCAGGTGTGCCCCAGGTGTGTCAGAGCCCCCCTCACCTGCGCAGGTACAGCCCCGAGAACCTGGCCAGGCTGGAGTTGTGCAATGGGGGGCTGGGGTGTGTAATTGGGGGGTCCCAGGTGTGTCTAGGTGTGTAAAGAGAGGTCCCAGGTGTGCCCCAGGTGTGTCAGAGCCCCCCTCACCTGC